AAATCAGTGTCACACAGCGGCAGCAGGCTTCTCCTCACCCCTGTTTAATACAAGTAAGTTCCACATGAACGGATGATATAACAGATAAAGGGCAGTTCCAAATATCATTTTTCTCACTCAAAGCGATTGGAAACACTGAGAGCTTTTAACCATAGGAGCCAATACTTAACAAAGACAAATACACCGAATTTAGATGGATAATTTAGTACAGGGAGAAGAGCTACAGAAAGCGTTCCTCACCAGTGTGGAGTCCGTACAGCTCTGGCTAGGAAACCCCACACCCGCAATGTGGCCGCAGGTGGCGTTACACTGATTAATGTCCCACTTCAACAATGACACACGGAACCTTAGTTCCACAAAAATTAAGTTCACACAATAAAAAAATATAACCTATGTACAATACAGTTTTGAGAATGTTCACAATTCGTACATTAGATCTCAGCTACACTCCTAGGACAGTGCTGTCCAAATGCTGGATTTGTACCTACCTAGCTGTTAATCTCTTCAAGGGGTAAAGAAAAACGCATTACTCATCGATTTTTTCTTATTGACTTGTAGCATTTTGACACCATGAATTTGGGTTATGACATACAACAATTATAGATGTGTAATTTTTAACTTTTTCATGGCATGATAGTGTATTTCTTACCAATATCTATTTGTTTCATGTAGTTTTTAATATTATATTTAAACGTTTTCATTTAAACCTTTCACCAAATGTGTGATTGCAAATTTCTGCATGTTTTTTTGTTTTCTTTTAGAATTTGATTTTTTTTTTCCTGCGTACTTCTGATGTTATCAGTTTTAATTTAATTTGTTGTTGGGTTTTTATTTTTTGGTTCATGGCAATGTCTGCAGGATATTTTCTGATATATTTACTGTATAATTACTGATTTTTGCTTTGTCAGAATATTGTAAACTCTTTCACTTTTACCAGCATAAAATCACATCTTAGTGCTGAATCCAAGTATTTTCATGTAGCTATTAACTCTCTTCTGCTCCCAGTAACAACAGTGACTACCGTATCTTCTGCACTTTAAGGTGCACTTAAAATGCTTTTGTTAGACTAAACTGTTAAATGTTGTCATTTTTATGCTACCATCTCTACATTGTTTTAACTCTGATGCAAGGAATTCCACTGTCCCCCTCCCTCTCGAGGTTCTGGGTGGGGGGCTGTAGTCTTTTATTGCAGACACATCCTTGTGAGGGTCTTTTTAATGTAAGCTTCCTGCCCAGCAGGAG